TGTCGAGAGTGCTGGCGGGCGACTGGCACCCCCACACGTCGCAGGAGGTGGCCTGTCTGCGCCCGTACTTCTCGGTGAGGGACAGGTTGGCTGTGGTCAGGGGTTTGGTCACCTACACCTTTGACCAGGGCTGCGTGCGCCTTGTCATCCCCGACTCCCTCCGCCACCGGGTCGCCGTTAACCTGCATGTGGGGCACCAGGGCCTCGACTCAATGCTCAGGCGGGCCCGGCAGTCTGTCTATTGGCCTGGCATGGAGGGTGACCTGCAGTATCATCGGTCCCGGTGTGCTGCATGCGAGACCCACGCCCCTTCCCAGCCTCCGGAGTCGTTGGTTCTGACCCCAGCGCCAGACTATCCCTTTCAACAAGTGGTGGCCGATTTGTTCCACCTGCAGGGCCGCAAGTACCTAGCATATGCTGACCGACTGACAGGTTGGCTGGAGATCGCCCACTTCCCCAACGAGGCCACCTCTGGAAAAATCATCGCCAGTCTGCGGGCCTACTTCACGAGGTGGGGGGTACCTGAGCAGATCTCCACGGATGGAGGTACCAACCTTGCCAGCCTTGAGATGACAGATTTCCTCAAGTCATGGGGGGTCGAGGTGCGCCTCTCGTCGGCCCACTTCCCCCAGTCCAATGGCAGGGCAGAGGCTGGGGTCAAGGCTGCCAAGAGGCTCCTCAGGGATAACACTGGGCCCGGGGGTAGCCTGGACTGCGATAGGACATCCCAGGCCCTCCTCCAGTACCTGAACACGCCTCTGCGGGGGGTGAACAAGTCGCCCGCCCAACTTGCCACCGGCCGCCAGCTCCGTGACGGCGTTCCCGTGGCCAGACAGCACTATAAGGTGGACCAGCACTGGCGGCGGGCACTTCGTATGAGGGAGGTGCGCTTGGCCGAAACCCAGGATGGGGTCCTGTCGCGGAGGGAGGTATCCCGCCAGCTGGCTCCCCTAGTCGTGGGCACGCAGGTGCGTGTGCAGGACGCAGCTACCAAGCTCTGGGACAGGACAGGCATAGTGGTGGAAGCCCGCCCTCACAGGCAGTATGCCGTCAGGTTGAGTGGCAGTGGCAGGGTGTCCATCCGCAACAGACCCCACCTGCGAAACGGCTCCACACCTGTGCCTACTACTCCGGTGGTGCACCAAGCTGTGCCTCCTGGCCCCCCATCTGCTGTGCCCTCCGTACCCGCGCCCTCCTTCGCACTCACGGCCCCTCCCCAGTCGAGCGCGGCCAGGCCCAGGAGAGGCCGTAGGCCTCCGGGCTGGTTGACGGACTACGTGGTGTAGTGTATGTGATGTAAAATCAGTTTAGAGGGTTTTTTGTTGTTTTTTTCCTTTGTTTGACTGGTTTTTCCTGCATTATTGTTGTTTTTATGAATGCATTGTTTTCCTTTTGTTAGTTCAAATGTGCAATGTCATTTCCTTTTAACTTGGGGGGAGATGTAAGATTGTACCATCGTACGATATGTTTTCCCATGTTGAGATGGGGGCTTGTCTTTGGCAGCGCCTGGTTGCCAGTCACCAGCTGACGCTGTTAGAATAAAGTCTACAAAGAACGTGGTCTATGACTCCAACCTCTCACACTGTATGTTATATTTTTTTATGATAAAACATACACCATAAGAGGCTGATTATATGATAATACTGTATAATAAAGAAATAAAAACAAACTTGTGATTGTGACAACGGCGAGTCTCACACATCTAATGTCATCTCATATTTATTAGCTAATGTTACGCCTATATCATTTCTGATTAGACCACGCCATACCTATTAAAGACAATATATATATATATATATATATATATATATATATATATATATATATATATATATATATATATATATATATATATATATATATATATATATATATATATATATATATATATATATATATATAAATGCTAGCCATTTTTTATGGGTTTAACAGAAGAGAAAGAAGATAAGAGAACAGAAAGAAAACAATAGAAAGAAGAGAAGAGAAAGAAGCTAAAGAAAGAGAGAAATATGAACAGCATATTCAGTACACTGTAGATTCCTGATAATTCATGAAATACAAATTTGCCCACTCACGACAAAATTCACACCCCGCCACTGAGCGCCAAACTCAAAACAGCTCTGCCACTCCTCCTTTTGTTGGATCAATGGGATAGTCAGCAAAACTTGCGGATTATTTCCCTAATATATACAGTAATTGTCGGGTATGCGAAGCAGCAGTTATTGAGCCATTGGTTTATGGGGTATTCCTGTACAGTATTTTTTTTAATCGTATTACACCTGTACCGTGATAACTGATGCATATAAGAACAGAACAAATTCAGGGGGTTAGGGACAAATCATCCTCCAAATACTTCCATCTGTCCTTGATATATCTTTGTCGTGCACATTGTCAAGCAAGAAAATAAAGCACACATAAAGCAAGCATAATAAGCCTTAAATAAGTAATATAAAGCATAAATTGAAACTGTTATTTACCTGTGATGAGGAAGGTAGAGACGGTACACTGTGGCAAGTTCAAGTCTCTCTACCAATCTTTGTTGGCCCATCACCTCTCTTATTATTCCTAAATTACACCTTATTATACCTTATTATGCCTTATCATATCACATCACATCACACCAAGATTCCCAGCACAACAGGAACTATCACTTGGGCATTTAGGCATGACTGATTCCCAGCACAACAGGAACTATCACTTGGGCATTTAGGCATGACTGAGTAACACAATACTGTAAGTCAGAAATAATGAAAAAATCAAGTCTCTACCAATCTTTGCTGCTCATTCACCACTCTTATCCAAAGTGTCCCCAAGAGGAACTATCACTGGGGCATTTAGACATAATTGCATAGCACACGAAGTCAGAAGTAACAAAAAAACACGAAGTCAGACACATGGTAAGTGTAAGCAAGAGCAAGGATAGTGTGAATGAGACAGAGGTAGCACACAGAGCCCTCTTGCAGCAATAATTTGCACCATGCCATTGCCTGCCAAATTCAAAACAAGATCTGCCACTCCTCTCCTTTTCATTGGATCTCTGGGGTGTCAACCAAACTTGCAGGGTATTTCCCCAATATGGAATCGTCAGTTATGCAAAGCAGTGGTTATTGGGGCATCGGTTTTTCGGGTATACTTGTAGTCTTGTATTATGTATAAATAATAGCTTCTTCAACACACAAACCATCCCCAGGGCGATGTAACATGTTTAACTGCTTAGCCTGGTAATCACTGGGCACGGGCAAAACCTTCCACGAATTCCACGTGAGCCGCATGCGTTAAGCCATTCTCATATTGCATCATGATATCTCCGAATATTGCGAGTTATTGCACATCACTTTTTCATAACAGTGAAAATGCAGGAAAAGCATTAGGGAAGTAAGTGACCGTCATAAAACTAATCTTTAGCCATGAATTATTGATAAATGGTGTCAAATTTTTTTACATCGTAAAACTGATTGAGTGCATATTGTTCCAATGTATAATGGTCATTGTCTATACCCCTGAATTACCCACTAATTACACTATACAGTACTTTCATTAATTTGGCAAGAGGGGAGCTCTGGGTCACTCGAATTACCGGAAAATCCAAATTAACCAGCTTGGGAATATTTTGACATTATTCAACAATTTCCGAATGTCTGTGTACGAATATTTGTTCGTTTTCTATTCAGTATTTGCACCTTATTTGGATCGTTCCAAAGATTGTTCCTTATTATTTCAACCAACAATCATACTCAGTTACCATGCTTCATCTGCCACTGTACTGTTCAAACAAATATATTTTTTAAATGTACGTACAGTAATAATAAATTAAATAATTCAATAATGAATAAATGTAACACTTACATTGCAAGGTGAGCTGATAATATGTAGATGATACTCTGAAAGTGTAATGGTTACACTGGAAAACGAAGCAAAAACCCACATTGAAGAATAAGAAACGAAATCTTGGAGCTAGTATACAGGACCCTCTTCAACCAACTAACAGAACAAAGCAGGGAGAAAGACAGAATATGGGAATCAGGTCAAATGACCTTCCTCCTGAGTTGAGGAAAGGTGGGGATTAGGGATAATCTTCTAGATAACAATATTCAAGGTCAGGTCCAGGGTTCATTGACCATATGCCAAATTAAAGTTAGGTGTAGAAGTAATAAATGAAGATTCAACAATTTTTTTACAGAAGTTTCTTGTCCAGGCTGTGCAAATGTGAAATCAAGTACAGGTACACGATGGACACAAAATATGTTTATGGGAAAATTTGAGGAAAATGCAGAATATGAAACTGCAATTCCTCCTTTGGCTTATTCCTGAGACAAGAAATAAATTTTCTTCCATAGAATTTTTTTGTTAGGAAGCTAGTTAACCGGACAATTGTCCTTAACTGATTTAAAAAAAAATGAGGCACTGTATCAATAAGTGAAAGTATAATACACATTTAAAGGCATAAGAATATCTCTTTATGAATCTGCCATGTCCATTTTTTTTAAATCAACACAAGAGAAATGAGCATTGTTATTCTTATATCAAAAAATAATATATTGTATGGTGATCTGAAATTAAAAAATAAATAAAAAGAATAACTAATATTCAAATTTTTTTTGCTCTATAATGAAAATTAATATGAAAATCCTGTTTCACTTTGCAATATTTGTATGATGATATACTAATTAATACTTTAAACTGTACTGTGATTTAATACTGTATCAATTTCACATACTTTTAGGTTACTGGTAAAGTGTGTTAATATTTAAATTGACTTTAAACTTCACTTGTTAACCTAGACTCATCCAAAGTGAGACATACTTAATGGATCACAGAGTAAAGCTGTACTGTATATATAATCACAGAATAGAGCAGTGCTGCAAATATTGTGCATCATAAGCAATTTTGTAAATCCATGCTATAAAAAAAGGTATGTGATGAGCAATAAAAATTGTGTGCTGTTTTGACTTAATAAGTGTGTTGTGCTGTGCTTAAAAAGTGTGGACACCCTGTCTCACCCTGGGTCCTTCCACAAAATTGACGAGTGAGTCCACCTGGAGTGGCGGATGGTGTGCAGCAGACAGCTGGGTAGTGGTGGTGGGTGACGCCGGAGTGGTGATGGGGAGAGGCACCACAGAGCCCATCTGCAGAAATGACCAAATATTTTTCCATCTATCTATTATACTTGCTCTTCTCCCAATATCATTTGGGATGAATCAAGAAATCAGAAACCCCAAGAAAGGGGGGAGGAGGCAAGTGATGGTGCAAGAGAAATGTTGAAAATGAGAGGAAAGGACAAATCAGTAAAAATGCTCAATACTGTACACACCTCCCCATATCCTAAACTTGCACATGCAATATACAAAATGAATTATTAACCTACACCTTAATTTAAATTAACCCTATCTATCATTGTTAACTCTTTTCTAAATTCAGGTTTGGATTTAAAATATATGAAATATGAAAATAAACTAAATATTATCCCTGAAATCTCCTGCTTTGTCCTCTTGGACAAAGAGGGAGTAAGGCAGGGCCAGTGCTGGCACCATAGAAACAACTGCTTACTGAACACTATACCTGTTTTCTGGGTCAGCTATAAAGGTAGTCCTCCAATATATGATGGTTCAGTTTATGAAGAAAAAAAATATCCTATGATTCAATTCATGGAAAAAAAAATTAATGTTAGAAAAAATCACTTATTCATAATTCTTTCCTAAGTAACAATGAAAATATGCAAAAACAATGAAATTTTTCTTCACTGTATTAGTAATATGCTTACTCTTGTCACTATCATACATCATTATTCTCTGACACTCACAATTTTATTAAAACTATAAATAAGTTTTCAATGTGTCATCATTATCCTACAATCACCATATATTGAGAAACTTAGTCCTCAAACTCACTGGGGACAAGTACACTCGTCTCCCCCAGCACAGTCACACAGCCAGTTCACTTCTTGTTCAATATCTCCTCATTTACTTTCATATAATACATGGAAAATTAAATAAAAAATTATTTTATATTCTGAAAGTTCAAATACAAATAATGTAGAGTACAGGCAACCTTTAATATTTTATTTGGCTAACACCAGCCACATTTATTCAGTCCCATTCACAAAGGGTTAAAAGAGTGATTGTACTGTTAACTATTTCACTGGCCAATAATTCAAATTGCATTGCTAGGAACCTGCCAGTTCCCAGTTCCTCTTGCTGTCTCAACTCAGAAACAGCCAATATCACGAGCATCATGCACAGACAACTAATGTTCAGAAATATCTCATTACCGTAAATTGTATAGCATTGTTAAACCAAGAAAGTCCAAATCTCATTTTGGATAATTTAGCAAGTATTGTCGGTTGAGAAGTGGCTGAGATTTGTATGATACAGTGAGGTGGTAAGATCGATTGCTAATGCAGAAGGGTTTATTTGTTATGTCATAGAGTAAAGCAACTGTTACCAGTTGGCACAAATATTAAATAAAATTAAAAAGTAAGCGAAACAAACTGAATACAGACAACAGGCACAATGAGTTCTATATATAAGCCAACTGATGAACAATTTACATATGATGCAACAAAAAAAGAAGCCTTTTTGATAAATCTTTACATTCAGAAAAAAATTACAGAAGTAAATTAAAAGAACAATAGGTTGTGGTAATACACAAGGAAGAGGGCATGGTTGTGGTAATACACTAGGAAAGAGGGCATGATTGTGGCAGTACACAGGGAAAGAGGGCATGGTTATGGCAGTACACAGTAAAAGAGGGCATGGTTGTGGCAGTACACAGTAAAAAAGGACATGGTTGTGGCAGTACACAGGAAAAGAAGACATGGCTGTGGCAGTACTCAGGGAAAGAAGACATGGCTGTGGCAGTACACAGGAAAATAAAACATGGTTGTGGCAGTACACAGGGAAAGAGGATATGGTTGTGGCAGTACATAGGGAAAGAGGGCATGGTTGTGGCAGTAGATGGGAAAGGGGCATAGTGGCGATGGTACACAGTGAAAAAGGGCATGGTTGTGGCAGTACACAGGGAAAGAAGACATGGTTGTGGCAGTACACACGTAAGAAGATATGGTTGTGTGGTACAGACAGAAAGAGGACATGGTGTGGCATTGACAGGGAAAGAAGATATGGTTGTGATAGTACACAGTGAAAAAGGGCATGGTTGTGGCAGTACACAGGGAAAGAAGACATGGTTGTGGCAGTACCACGTAAAAGAAGATATGGTTGTGATATGCACAGGGAAAGAAGACATGGTTGTGGCAGTACACAGGGAAAGAAGACATGGTTGTGGCAGTACGCGTAAGATAGTTGTGGCAGTACAGACAGAAGGACATGGTTGTGGCATTGGACAGGGAAAGATATGGTTGTGATAATGTACAGGGAAGAAGACATGGTTGTGGCAGTACACAGGAAAGAAGACATGGTTGTGGCAGTACACACGTAAAAGAAGATATGGTTGTGGCAGTACAGACAGAAAGAGGACATGGTTGTGGCATTGGACAGGGAAAGAAGATATGGTTGTGATAATGTACAGGGAAAGAAGACATGGTTGTGGCAGTACACAGGAAAAGAAGACATGGTTGTGGCAGTACAGGGAAAGAAGATATGATTGTGATAATGTACAGGGAAAGAAGACATGGTTGTGGCAGTACACAGGGAAAGAAGACATGGTTGTGGCAGGCACGGGAAAGAAGACATGGTTGTGGCAGTACACAGGAAAGAAGATATGATTGTGATAATGTACAGGAAAAGACATGGTTGTGCAGTACACAGGAAAGAAGACATGGTTGTGCGTACACAGGGAAAAGACATGGTTGTGGCAGTACACAGAAGAAGATATGATTGTGATAATGCGGGAAAGAAGACATGGTTTGTGGCAGTACACAGGAAAGACAGTAGCAGTACACAGGGAAAGACATGGTTGTGGCAGTACACAGGAAAGAAGATATGATTGTGATAATGTACAGGAAAGACATGGTTTGGCAGTACACAGGAAAGATATGGTTGTGGCAGTACAGGAAAGAAGATATGGTTGTGGCAGTACACAGGAAAGAAAATGGTTTGATAATACAGGGAAAGAAGACATGGTTGTGGCAGTACACAGGGAAGGAAGATATGATTGTGATAATGTACAGGGAAAGAAGACATGGTTGTGCAGTACACAGGGAAGAAAGAAGATATGATTGTGATAATGTACAGGAAAAGACATGGTTGTAGCAGTACACAGGAAAAGAAGATATGATTGTAGTAATGTACAGGGAAAGAAGACATGGTTGTGGCAGTACACAGGAAAGAAGATATGGTTGTGATAATGTACAGGAAAAAAGACATGGTTTGTGGCAGTACACAGGAAAGAAGATATGTTGTGATAATGTACAGGGAAAGAAGACATGGTTGTGGCAGTACACAGGAAAGAAGATATGGTTGTGATAATGTACAGGGAAAGAAGACATGGTTGTGGCAGGTACACAGGGAAAGAAGATATGGTTGTGGCAGTACACAGGGAAAGAAGATATGGTTGTGATAATGTACAGGGAAAGAAGACATGGTTGTGGCAGTACACAGGGAAAGAAGATATGATTGTGATAATGTACAGGAAAGAAGACATGGTTGTGGCAGTACACAGGGAAGAAGATATGATTGTGATATGTACAGGAAGAAGACATGGTTGTAGCAGTCACAGGGAAAGAGATATGATTGTGATGTGAGGAAAGAAGACATGGTTGTGGCAGTACACAGGGAAAGACATGGTTGTGGCAGTACACAGGGAAGGATATGATTGTGATAATGTACAGGGAAAGAAGATATGGTTGTGGCAGTACACAGGAAAGAAGATATGATTGTGATAATGTACAGGGAAAGAAGACATGGTTGTGGCAGTACACAGGAAAGAAGATATGGTTGGCAGTACAGGGAAAGAAGATATGGTTGTGATAATGTACAGGAAAGAAGACATGGTTGTGGCAGTACACAGGGAAAGAAGGCATGGTTGTGGCAGTACACAGGGAAAGAAGATATGATTGTGATAATGTACAGGGAAAGAAGACATGAATGTGGCAGTACACAGGGAAAGAAGACATGGTTGTGGCAGTACACAGGGAAAGAAGATATGATTGTGATAATGTACAGGGAAAGAAGACATGAATGTGGCAGTACACAGGGAAAGAAGACATGGTTGTGGCATTGGACAGGGAAGAGGGCATGGCTGTGGCAGTACACAGGAAAGAGGATATCGTTTGGCAGTACCGGGAAAGAGGACATGGTTGTGGCAGTACACAGGGGAAAAAAGACATGGTTGTGGCAGTACACAGGAAAGAAGACATGGTTGTGGCAGTACACAGGGAAAAAAGACATGGTTGTGGCAATGTACAGGAAAGAGAACATGGTTGTGGTAGTACACAGGAAACAGGATATCGTTTGGCAGTACACGGGGAAAGAGGACATGGTTGTGGCAGTAGACAGGGAAAGGGACATGGTTGTGGCAGTACACAGGGGAAGGACATGGTTGTGGCAGAACACAGGGAAAGAGGACATGGTTGTGGCATTACACAGGAAAAGAGGGCATGGTTGTGGCGGTAAACAGGGAAAGTGGGCATGGTTTGGCAGTACACAGGGAAAGACATGGTTGTGGTAGAACACAGGAAAGAAGACATGGTTGTGGCAGTACACGGGGAAAGAGGACATGGTTGTGGCAATACATGGGGAAAGAGGCGTGGTTGTGGCAGTACACAGGAAAAAAGAACATGGTTGTGGCAGTACACAGTGAAAAAGGGCATGGTTGTGGCAGTGCACAGGAAAAGAGGCAAGGTTGTGGCATTACACAGGAAAAGAGGGCATGGTTGTGGCAGTACACAGGAATAGAAGACATGGTTGTGGCAGTACACAGGGAAAGTGGGCATGGTTGTGGCAGTACACAGGGAATGAGGACATGGTTGTGGCAGTACACTGGGAAAGAAGAACACGGTTGTGGCAGTACACAGGAGAAAAGGGGCATGGTTGTGGCAGTACACTGGGGAAAGAAGACAGGTTGTGGCAGTACATAGGAGAAAAGTGGGCATGGTTGTGGCGGTACACTGGGAAAGTGGGCATGTTTGTGGCAGTACACTGGGAAAGAAGACACGGTTGTGGCAGTACAGGAAAAGGGGGGCATGGTTGTGGCAGTACACTGGGAAGAAGACACCGGTTGTGGCAGTACACAGGGAAAGAGGGCATGGTTGTGGCGGTACACAGGGAAAGTGGGCATGTTTGTGGATACCCAGGAATAAAAGACATGGTTGTGGCAGTACACAGGGAAGAGGACATGGTTGTGGCAGTACAGGGAAAGAGGACATGGTTGTGGCAGTACCGCAGGGGAAAGAAGACATGGTTGTGGCAGTACACAGGAAAAGTGGGTATGGTTGTGGCAGTACACAGGAATAGAAGACATGGTTGTGGCAGTACACAGGAAAGAAGACATGGTTGTGGGCAGTACAAGGGGATAGGGACATGGCTGTGGCAGTACAGGGGAAAGAGGACATGGCTGTGGCAGTACAGAGGGAAAGGACATGGTTGTGCAGTACAGGGGAAAAAGACAGGTTGTGGCAATGTGCAGGAAGGAACATTGTTGTGGCAGTACACAGGGAAAGAGGACATGGTTTTGGCAGTACATAGGGAAAGAGGACATGGTTGTGGCAGTACAGGGTAAGAGGACATGGTTGTGGCAGTCACACAGGAAAAGAGGACATGGTTGTGGCAGTACACGGGGTAGAGGACATGGTTGTGGCAGTACACAGGGAAAGGGAACATTGTTGTGGCAGTACACAGGGAAAGAGGACATGGTTGTGGCAGTACACAGGGAAGAGGACATGGTTGTGGCAGTACCACGGAGTGAAGGACATGGTTGTGGCAGTACACAGGAAGGAACATTGTTGTGGCAGTACAGGAAAGAGGCATGGTTGTGGCAGTACACAGTTATAGATGACATGGTTGTGGCAGGTCAATGATACATGACATGGTTGTGGCAGGTCACAATGATACATGACATGGTTGTGGCAGGTCACAATGATACATGACATGGTTGTGGCAGTAGACACTGATGAATGTGGTTGTGGCAGGTCACAATGATACATGACATGGTTGTGGCAGTAGACACTGATAGATGACATGGTTGTGGCAGTAGACAGTGATAGATGATATTGTTGTGGCAGTACACAGTGATAGATGACATGGTTGTGGCAGTACACAGTGATAGATGACATGGTTGTGGCAGTACACAGTGATAGATGACTTGGTTGTGGCAGTAGACAGTGATAGATGATATTGTTGTGGCAGTACACAGTGATAGATGACTTGGTTGTGGCAGTACACAGTGATAGATGATATTGTTGTGGCAGGTCACAATGATACATGACATGGTTGTGGCAGTGAACAATACACCAAATGTAACCAAATGTCTTGCCTGGGCCTCACATTCTCACACTGTAAGACAACCTCATGTGCTGTTTCAGTAATTTGTGTGTCCTCTACTACATGTTTTAACTTACTGTATTTTTTCTTATACTTGTAATAAGTGAGTACAATTTGGGTTATCATTTAAACATATAACGATTTATTTATATCGCGTTTACCAAAATTATCGAAATTTCCCTTTATAAAGCGATAATTTTTTTTTATTTCGCGAGGGAAATCGGGCAGGAAATATTTCAAATGAACCGCCAGGGCAAACGAATGCGTTATCTCACCAGAGGGGCCACTACGGCTACTCACTCAGGCATTTATGCTCGCTTGCTCAGTCCTTCTGAGTGAGTGAAGAGAAAGCAGCCGACTCTGCTGCTGATTACGACTTCTAAGGTGAGTGTAAAGGGGTTGTTAGTGACGTGAAAAGTGAAGTGAAGATAATGGAAACCTTAATGGAAATGATTTAATACTGCAACTAATATTTTTGGTTTATTCGTTTATGATTGTTAAGTGAGGGTGACAGTGTGTCGTCTGTTGTTCTCGGGATAGCGCGTCAGCTGCTGAGTCTGGTGCAGATTCCAATTTCTAAAGCAAGTGTAAATGGGTTGCTAGTGACGTGAAACGTGAAGTGAAGATAATGAAAAGCTTAATGGAAAAGATTTAATACTGTAAATAATATTTTTGGTGTTCATTTATGTAGGTGTGGGATTGTCAAGTGAGGGTAGCAGTGTGGTGTCTGCTGCCCAGTCTGGTGTTCCCAGGATGGTGCGTGAGCTGCCGAGCCTGGTGTTCCTGAGTCTGGTGTTCCTTGTTATTGATATTGAAATAGCCTGTTGTTCCAGAGTCTAGTGTTCATTGGTGCTTTAGTTACTAAGAAAATGAACTCGTTAAGTCAAATTTAGTCACTTTTTTGGGCCTGCAGAACCTAACCCTATTTTCCCCATTGATTACATGTAATTATATATCGCGATTTAGTATATAGCGAACATCGTTGGACCCTATCTCGCGATATATCACCACCCTTCTGTATTCTAGTATTCTAAAATGTTTTGCAGGTATTTTTTTCTTGATAAGAATGTACAATGAAAGACAAAAGTCGTGTTGTGAAATTTGGTGAAAACATATGTCGAAGGGCTAAGCTCTTGTAGGGGTGTATTAGCCACTGTCTTATATAGGCAGAAGTATTTATATAAATGTGGGTTAATTACACTAGACTTGTATAACTATCATCACTGTAATTTTTCACTAGCTATGAGGTTCATGTTCAGAGCACGTGATAAGGTGTGCCCACGGGAAGTCACGTCACTTAGAGCTGAGCTAAGGGATAAGTGACCAGCTCCTTGGCCACCTATTGCGGGCAGTAGTTTGATATCACTCACTAGAGGAAGACGTTATTTAGAGCCATCGTTGATGTGCTTCCGTCTTTCGGACATATTTAGAAGAGCTACTATAAGATAGCCTCCATCCTCATTTAACACTCATAGCTACAGTCATTAAGTTACGGTGATAATCCTTTTTGAAAGTGTACATAGAAACCGTTTATAATAAATACTGAAGACTCAATAAACTTTGATCTATTTTAGTACTTCTTGAATATAAGGTAATGTTCTTCACAAGTGATTGTTACAAGTGGTGACAACCCAGGAAGGTTGTGACATATATGACAGCTTCACAAGTAGTTGTTATACTAGAGGTAAAAGTCACCCAACAGATACACAGTTGGTAAAGTAGAGATATTATGTTCTCCCATTACTGTGTTATACTGTTACTGTTACAAAGAAGCTATAGTTACAAAGTTGGCAAAGCATAGTCTAAAGTGACCAGTCTACAGGACCAGTCTACAGTCTACAGTTTACAGTTAGTCAAGTGAACTCCAAGTAAACATGACAATTCTCATAACAGAATTTATTCGTCACACTGGAGTTGAGTAACAGTTGAGATAATTTGTTCTCCTGTTACTCCGACTGTTTTATATATATAAAGAAATTAAACAGTTTCAGGGGGCTCTCATAATGTTGCATGAGTTATATTTAATCTTCGGACCAAACCACGACACAACTTTTGTCTTTGATTGTACAATATATCAGATTTTATAACATAAATAAGATGGAGAATTTCATCCCATTTATGAAAATGAGTAGGAAAGGTTTTTCATGAACAGAACCCTTTTGTAAATTGGGGTATGTCAGTAACTGATTCAGGACAGGAACACCTGACTGATTCACGATGGGAACACTTCACTGATTCAAGACAGGATCACTTGACTGATTTAAAACAGGAACAAATGACTGAATCAAGACAGCAACACATGACTGATTCGGGACAGGAACACATGACTGATTCAAGGCAGGAACACATGACCGATTCAATACAGGAACACATGACTGATTCAAGACAGGAACAAATGACTGATTAAAGACAGAAATAAATGACTAAGTCAGGACAGCAACACATGACTGATTCAAGACAGGAACACATGACTGATTCAGGACAGGAACAAATGACTGATTCAGGACAGAAACAAATGACTGATTCAAGACAGGAACACATGATTGATTCAAGACAGGAACAAATGACTGATTCAAGACAGCAACACATGACTTATTCAGGACAGGAACACATGACTGATTCAAGACATGGAGACAGATGATTGGGAACCCATGTGGTACAGGACATGGAGACACATGACTGATTCAAGACATAAGGACATATGACTGGGGACAAGTTCAGGGTATAGAAACACTCACAGATATATATTGCCAGCCAGCGCCAATTCGGACCAGCATCACTTCTTCATCGATCAGGAAGGCCAAAGTCCCTAAAGGTGACATATCACTCATCTGTGTCAAGGAAAGTTAAAAATATAATATTACTGCACTTTTAATAATAGCATTAGTAAAACAGGAATAATTTGAACACTCCATTATGCCACTGCTGTATTGCCTATGAACACAACAAGAATTCTACTAGTAACTAAAATAAAGTTATTGGAAATAGTACTTTATATAGTACACTATACGTCAATGTGCAGTGATAATCTCCTAAGTTACCCACAATCCCTAATACCCTGAACTTTCCGATATTCAGAATTGAAATCGGCCTGGAAAAAATCCGTGAAAACCCTCTCCATTCCGGGTCTGTGAACAAATATCCGAGGATGAAAATCATTAGCATTTTTCGGAAAAATTCTGAGAATGTGGGATGTCCCATAATGTGTAGGACCCGAAATCATGTTCTACCTTTGCTGCCATACGAGATGTTCTACAGCTGCCCGGCAGCCACAGGAGAGCCAATACAACTTGAGTGTCAGTTCTATTCCAGAGTCCAAAGGAATAAGCGTATCGCTCGCCACCTGGCTTACCTTTCTTCCAGATAGCATACATGGTGCAGTGAGAAACCTTCGTGGAGCCTATGCCCCTTCTCATCATGGCTACTTCAGGCAAACTTGCCTCCATCACTCCCTGGGCCTGCAGATCCCTGGCTGTCATGCCCTGCAGCTTTCCTAGTCGTCCATGGTCCAAGCACAGTCTGTGCAGGCCGCTCAACAACAGGCCATCCAGTCGCTGCAAGCCGGCCTTGCCGCTGTCTCCCTGCAGGACCAAAGGGCAGCCCCTGAGAGTACCTGCCTCCGCAGCACCGGAGAAGTGCGAATTGAAGATATCATCTGCAGCATTTCATTCCTGGAGGTGCTCGATGGTGTGTTGGTTGCAGCTGAACAGGTGGCCGCCATCGAAAGCTACTCAGCACATTAGGTTCTACTGTGTCCCCGCCTTACAACGTGCCATGGACGTAAGATTCACCGACCAGGAATGGTGTGCCCTCACCCCAGAGTCTGCTCTGGATGCTGTCGGTAACCTAGTGCTTCGTTCAACCAACCAGGCAGTGTTGTGGGCCAAGTTTTTCAGTGATTGTCAGGGCCGGGGGGAGCCCTTAAGTGAATATTTCATTAGAGGTGCTCAAAAGGTTATTGATTGTACTTTTCAGTGACCCCAGTGTGATCATAATCTCTCAAAGTATATTTTGTTGCACACGCTTTTAGTTGGCCTCAGTGATCCAGCGTTGAAGAGGCATGTTTACCAATTCCTTGACTTTTTTACTAGAAGAAGAACACAAGAATAACAAGAAAAGAAGAAACAAGACCACCAGATTAGCTGTACCATCAGAGCAATGAATTAATGTGGCAAGAAAGAAGACCAAGAATAGAAGAAGAAACCTCAAGAAGAAGAAAGAAGACATCAGCTCTGGCCGAAATAGCCTAAAGGAGAAGTGGCCAGTAATCCCCAAACAAGTCTTGTGAGTTTCCTTTCTCACCTCCATCCTTAGAGCGAGATCTCCTTCATGTACGTTTGTATGTTAGCCTAACAAAGAGAAAATAGACAAACACAAAAAGAAATTTGACAACTGGCCACATACACTACGCTACAATTGGTGACCCACGGAGTGACGCACTCACACAAAGATGGATGAGATCGGATCTCTCTTCCAGTCTTCAACCACAACATCGAGAACTGGATAATTCATGTGGAGGCAGCTCTCACTGGCTCAACAGCTAAGGACGAGCAAAAGTAAGTCGCCCTGGTCTGTTCCTTGCCCACAGAAGTCGCCACGCAAGTCTCAGAAGTCATCACCAACCCTCCAGTTGACAACAAATTCACAGCTCTATGAGATGTTCTGAAGAGGCAATACCAGCGGCCTAGCACCAGTCTCCTACAAGACCTATCAAATCTACCCCTCGGCAACTCAACGTCTGCATTTCTCTAGAACGAGATGCGTAGACTGAACTCCCGCCACACAGACAGGCTTCCTGACACTGTCCTGCACAAGCTTCACGTCCAGAAGCTCGCTGCAGAAGTTCGCCTCGCCCTGTCCGCACTGGACTACAACCCCGGCGACCTACGCAGCCACAGCAGAGAGAGTATTCCATGACTACACTGTTGTGCGCCTTGCTGCCGCGGATAACTCAGCGGCCACACCGTCACTTACCTCCGATCTTGTCAACCGGATCAACGCTCCTCAAACGAGCAACGCCTCACAAGACATGAGGGACCTGCTACAGTCTCTACACCGCAGGATGAACACTCGAGCAGCTCTGTTCCTCCATGCCTGCTGCTGCTCCTGTTCCTGCCCCACGCACTGTGTCCTACCAACCCCGACGTCTTCGTCCTGCCTCGGACACTGCCGCCAACTACCAGCACAGTGCACCTACCCTCTGCTGGTACCATCAACGCTTCAGTGCTAACGCTAGACGTTGTGTGTCTCCCTGCAACTACTCGAGAAACGGCATCGACGGGGATTGGTAGACGCCACAACCTTCGTCACTTCAGGCGTCTCACTACTGTAATTCACCGACCGCATCTCCGGCAGGAAATTCCTCCTCGTTGACACAGGGGCATCTGTCAGCATCATCCCTCCCTCACCGCGAGACACGTCGAAGCAACCCTCATATGACCTATTCGCCGCCAACGGCACCCCCATCGCCTCCTACGGTGCACACATCCTCGCCTTAGACCTTGGTCTTCCCAAGACTCTGCACTGGTCCTTCGTGGTGGCAGACGTCTCTCAACCCATCCTTGGCTTTGACTTCCTCACCTTCCACAAGCTCGTCATCGACCCAAGCAACCTCTGCCGTCCAACGAGTTCTCCCTGCTCAAGGAGTTCAAGGAACTTTTCTCACCTCGAGTCTCTCCACCACCACCTACGTCGGGAATCTTCCACCACATCGAGATAACAGGACCTCCAGTCTTCTCACGCCCTCGCCGCGTTCGCCCTGAGCTCCTGAACGCAGCTAAGGTGGAATTCAACAGGCTCCTGCAAGAGGGCATCTTTCGACCTTCAAAGAGTCCATGGGCATCTCCTCTTTACATGGTTCCAAAGTCATCATCCAGCGACTGGAGGATATGTGGTGACTACAGAGCCCTGAACCTTGTCACCAAACCTAACAGGTACCCTATCCCGCATGTCCAGGACTTCCACCAAAAACTCCACGGCAAGACCATCTTCTCGAAGATCGACTAGGAGCATGCCTTCCAACAGATTCCAATGGCACCTGCAGATATCCAGAAGAATGCCCTCACCACTCCGGTCGGTCTCTTCGAGTATGCAATGCAATGCAGCTCAGGCCTTCCAAAGGCACATGGACCACATGCTTTGCGACCTCGACTTTGTCACTGTCTACATAGACGACATTCTCGTCGCATCTCCGATGCCTGCCGAGCATCATCACCACCTACAGCTCCTTCTCCAACGCCTGCAGAATAACACCATGAAAGTTCATCCCGCAAAGTGCGTCTTCGGAGCCTCCTCCATCGACTTCCTCGGTCACAGAGTCTCATCTAGCGGCATCCAACCCCTACCACAGAACGTAACTGCCATCAAGAAGTTCCCCAAACCTGAAACAGCGAAGAAGCTCCAAGAATTCCTGGGTTTAGTCAACTACTACCACTGCTTCATTGCCCAGGCTGCTAACATCCTCGCTCCTCTCCACGATCTTCTCAAGGGATTCCCCAAGACGTCTCACAAGCCTCTCATATGGACTAGAGAGGCTTTTACAGCATTCACCACTATCAAGCAGCACATCACACGCTGGCTTACCCTGCCCCCAACGCCTGGACCAATCTCACAACAGACACTTCTTCTAATGCCGTGGGCGCCGTCTTACAACAGGAGATCAACGGAACTCTCATGCCCATTGCCTTCTCACTGCGGTTACAACCACCTTAACTCAAGTATAGCGCCTTCGATCGTGAGCTCCTGGTCATATATCTTGCTGTCAAGCATTTCCAGCATTTCCTAGAGGCCCGTCAGTTCACCATCTTCACTGATCACAAGCCCTTCGTCCACGCCTTCGCTTCAGCCTCCCAGACACATACACTTCGTGTTTTTCGCCACTTGGCTTACATCTCGGAGTTCACCAGTGACATGCAACACATCAAGGGCAGCCACAAAGAGATCGCCGACACCCTCTCTCGTATATCCAGCATTCTTCCCTCATTTCCACCCATAGATTACAGACAGCTCGCCATAGCTCAAGAGAACGACGAAGACCTTGCAGCGTACAAGACATCTCCCTCAGGTCTCGCCCTCCAAGAACTCCCCGTTCCTGGCACGAACATCAAGTTGTGGTGCGACATGTCCTATGGGCAGCCTAGACCGTTCGTGCCTCACATCCAACGCCGCGCCATCTTCGACCGCATCCATGGTCTCAGCTAGGTGTACGGGCCCGGCATCAAGTCTGATATTCGGAAATGGGCTGCCCAGTGCCTGGCCTGCCAGTCCTCTAAGATACATCGACATACATGACATACACGGGCTCCCTAAGAAACCTTTCCTCTACTCGGAGGATGCTTCCAGGTAGTGCACCTCAACATCGTGGGACCTCTTCCAGCATCCTTCGGCAACACCTACATCTTCACCTGCATTGACCGTTTCACCAGGTGGACAGAAGCCATTCCCATAATTAATGCTACAGCAGAGTCAGCCGTCCTCGCCTTCCTATCTGGTTGGGTCTCCCGTTTCGGTCCTCCCACGACTGTCATCACTGCCCGAGGAGCCTAGTTTGAGTCACAACTCTGGTATAGTCTCCAACAGTTCCACGGCATTTACAGGCACCGCACTACTACTTACTACCCTCAATCCAACGGCACGGTAGAGCAGTTTCATCGGCAGCTGAAGGACGTCATCAAGGCACAGCACGACCCTACAGCTGGATGGATGCTCTACCCTTAGTGCGCCTTGGCATCCGCGCATCACATAAAGAGGAGATGGACTGCAGCCCAGCAGATCTCACCCTGGGCCTACCCGGGGACTTCTCACTTACTCCTGACCTTGACCACTTCACTGCTGCTGCCCGTCATGACCTACTGCAAACAACTGCCCCACGCCAGCCTTCCCATCGCCCTGAACACATCCCTCCTGCACTACTCATTGCCGAGTATGTCTTCGTCAGGCGCAATGCTCACCACAACCCACTTCCATGCCCCTACGGCGGACCCTTCCCGAGAGGAGGGTGGTGAGTCACTGAGACTCTGCGGCTGCCTCCTCTTCTTCCTGCGCTGACTGGGGTTCCTCCGCCGCTGCTTGCTCCTCCTCCGTTGTTGTTTGCTCCTCCTCCATTGTTGTTTGCTCCTCCTCGGCTGCTTTGTGCGCCTCCTCGGTTGCCGGCTGTTGTGAAGATGCTATTGCTGCTTCTGCCGTCCCGTGATGAAAATATGAATCTAGTGTTGACTGCTTGGTGCTACTCTTTTTTTTCCTTCTTATGAATCTCAGTGTAACAACCAAGACTTTCATCAATGCTGCGTTGAATCTTTGAGTTACGTTCTCTGTTTGGGTTGTCATCTACAAGGATTTGCATACCTTGCTGGATTATATTGAACACTTCTTTCATCCTCTTGGTAGTTAGCATTCGTTGAGGTTCTTCTTCATCGTCTTCGTCTTCAACGGGACTGTGTTCTGTTAGTTGTTGCAAATCCTCATTCGTGAGCTCTTCTGTATGGGATGCCAGGACGTCCTCAATATCCTCTGATTCCAGTTCATCAAAGCCTGTTTGTCTAGCCAATCTGAGAATATCCCTATTCACTGCTGGGACTAAGTCCGCGAATCCCGTAAAACTGTTGATGCACTCGGGCCACAATTTACCCCACACACCATGGCAGCTTCACCAGTCATCTTAATATTGTGGGAGTTATAACGATGCTTAAATCGATGAAACCCTCCTCGGCAAGCCGTAAAGGTCTTTTTCTTCGATCCTTCACCCTCTTCTGCCTTTAAGTCGTCAAACAAGGATCAGGCCTTTTGCTCACAGGGGCTTTGCGTTGATTCTGGTCCTCCATCCACATTGCCAGCATCTTTTCCACCTTTTCTATCACAGTGCTTCTTGTACGAGCTGTCTTAGTTGCACTCAGAGAAGAACCACTTCCTGCACTAACCTTAATCATGTCAGCATTGGTCTGGACAATACGCACCATTGTGGGGGTTAGACCAAGCACAGCGTCTATGTCCACAGCACGTTCCCCTGTTTCAAATCGGGTTAATACACTCATTTTTGTAGCAAGGGTAATGAATGGTCTTCCGTTGCCTCTTCACTAAACTAGCATCAGTAGCACTTGCTGTGTGCTTGGATGCCATTTCGAATGGTTAGAGTACAGTTTAAGAGCAAAAGCACTTAAGCACACATGAATGATATGAAGTCATAACAAAGACTGGCTCGGCGTCGCCGTAGAAAGTAGTCCGTGACGACACAAAATGACGTAGTATCCGATCACGAATTTTTGGTCTCTAAAGTTTGGCGACGTAGTACCGAAACAATGTTAAGTGGGACGTATACGAGGACTTACTGTATTTATCTTTTCAGTCTATCTTATTAATATGTTAATGTACATATGTGAAAGAGGTGATCTTTTTCTTTTCTATATTTAATTTTATATTTAGTTCACAATTAAGATCACTTTACCTGGAGACCTGACAACGACACCCTCACAAAATATGACGGTTGAGGATGACCTGATCATGAGGTCTGAGGTTGACGAGTTCCACAACAATTTAAATAATGAGTTACTTAATGCACACAGGCAGAACTTATCATACAGAAAACTCAGATCAAATAACAATGACCCCAAATGGATAAATAATTATTGAAAGGATATTATTGGCCAAAGGAAGGCTATAGATTGGAGAATAAATTGTGAAGTTTACCTCCGAGATTATTATAAGGTATTGGCCAGTAGGGTTAAGTCCGAGATAAGGAAAGCTAAGAGGAATAATGAAGTGAAGGTAGCAAGGGAGGCGAAGTTAAACACCAAGTGCTTCTTCATGTGTATCAAACTAAAACATGAGACAAGATTGGACCAATACCGGTGAGCTAACTGATAACGACGGAGAAATGAGCAATAATCTGAACAGGTATTTTTCAACAGTTTTCACCACCGAAAATTTAAACATGATACCCGAGGCACCGACTACATACCGAGATAGTGAATAAAATAGATTAAACGAGATAGTAGGGACCAATAACTATGTCAATAAGCAAATAGACTAGCTAAAGCCTAAGAAGTCACCAGGTCCCGGTGAGAGATTTGCTAGAGTATTAAAGGAATGTAAGGAAGAGCTTAGTATGCCAGAATCCTGGAGGATAGCCAATGTGATACCAATTTTCAAGAAGGGAGATAGATCACTATCCTCTAACTATTGTCCAATCAGTTTAACATCAATTGTAGGCAAATTGCTGGAAGCAATTATTTCAAACCCTATTCGAAATCACCTGGAGAAGAACAAGTTACGAATATGAATCATGGTTCATTGATCAAGTTCTACTCACATAAACTCATAAAATTCGTTCTTCATACCGATTGAACACTAGGTATTCACTCATTCACACTCTTCGTATTTCAGTGAACCAAAAGGGACATAAAACATATCTCAAACTCATTCCTGAACCTCTAGTCAGCTACTTGTTTGAACTGTGCAAGGTGGGCCGAGTTAGTAATGCATGGGCCGAGTTGGCTATTTAAGATGGGCCAAGTTGGTTATCTAAGATGGGCCAAGTTGGAGGTACACCAATATATAATATTGTAGTGTACGATATTGTGTATCTACATATACCCTGGTTTATTCATTAATCATTTGTCTAAGTGTACAAGTAGCCAAATTGAGACGTCTTATAATACTCAAAGGTAGTAAATAACGTTTATTTGGAAGGTATCTTCATATCAAATACTATAAAGTGTGTTATAGTGACCCCTGTTGTAAGCTGGTCTACTGAAAGCTCTCACATGAATGCATCTTGAGTAAATATGCTTCTGATGCAGTTTATCCTTTTATTTTCAAGTCATATTACAAATTACATACAGTATTGTATTTTTTCTCTATTACTGAAGATGTTATATTAATCATGATGAACCATAAACCATAAGAGGCCAATCATATGAGAATATAAAACTGAATCAATAAATAAATAAACCTGGTGAATGTGGCAACACCTGATCAGCCCCAGCCTGCTTACATACTCAAGTGACTTAGTTCTCAGTAGGCCTATACAAAATCTGATTAGACCACTGTATAGTATTCAGTAAGTGTGGTTCATTCGATAGATTTTTTTTTTATGAATTTTCCCCATTTCTTAAAACAAGTACTACTTTGTGTATTTCTGGTGATCACAGCACCTCGGAGTCCGAAAAAAAAATCCGATATATTTATGTCTGATTTATTGAGGTTTTACATTATTTGAGTCATTTAGACATTATTTAATTATTATAGCAGCGGGATATAAAACTTGTTTGGGCTCTTCAGGGGCTCAGGAATGGAACCTATTTTTTCCCATAAGTTACCAATATCTATATACAATCAATCGCTTTTTGAGGTCCCTAACCCCCATCGTATAATGGTCATTGCCTCAATATATTACCTTATCATGTATACAAAACAATCATTATTATAACAGAGGGACATAAAACTTGTTTGTCTCTTCAGGGGCTCAGGAATGGAACTTATTTTTCCCCATAAGTTATTAATATCACTATACAATCAATCACTTTTTGAGGTCCCTAACCCCATCGTATAATGGTCATTGCCTCAATATATTACCTTATCATATATACAAAACAATCATTATTATAACAGAGGGACATAAAACTTGTTTGTCTCTTCAGGGGCTCAGGAATGGAACTTATTTTTCCCCATAAGTTATTAATATCACTATACAATCAATCACTTTTTGAGGTCCCTAACCCCATCGTATAACGGTCATTGCCTCAATATATTACCTTATCATAAATATTGTACGATACAATCATAATTGTTATTAAAAAACATAAATACTGTACAGTATAAAATAGCATTAAAGCATGCCCAAGTTTTACATATCAAAGCCCAGCCTGTTGTCATGAGATTTATGGAATGGGGAATTAGGATCTTTGCCATTTTATTAAGGTAGTTAGTATCTCAAGTACCTGTACCTGATAACAGAGAGTTTATTGATATAATAATACTTTAATGGCAACTGCATTAATAACTTTTTTTAAAGCAATATTTGTCAGCAACTGACCTTCAACATGGCAGTTTTGTCTGGGAAGGTGACAGCACCAGGCACAATATTAGAGGTTGGTTCTTGAGATCCTCCTCCATCTTGCCCAGGTTGACCAGGAGCACCAGGTGGACCAGGGGGACCTGAGGAACATTATATCTTTATATATCTAATTATGAACTGAGTCCGAGGAAGTGAAATATCTCATGATGCATTAACAAAACATTCATTGCCTTCAGAGGAATAAACTCAATCTTATGTAAATTTAAAAAATATATATTATTTGAAGTTAAGCTATTTTAACATGCACTAAATAAGATTCTCTTTGCAAAACAACCTCATTTCACAATGATAGAATATTTATGCAGATGTTGAATACAGATATTATAAATAGCAATTGAGGAAACAATGATTACCATGTTGTTATGATATATTTCACACACACAAAGCCTTCTCTAGAAGTCTTAGTTGGGCAGCAGTTCATAAAGAACAGCGAGCAGGGAAGGCATTGGGGAGTTTGGGAAATACTGTCTTAGAGTTGTGGAAATACTCTTCAGTTAGGATGTTAAAGATTATTATTAAGTCTTCTTACACCACTTGCTTTGACACTCAGTCCACTGGCCCTATCAAATCCCTCTCAACATTGTCTTTAAATCATCTGTCAGTTTGTGAAAAAGCTGCTACGCCATTCTCGCCACTGCCACCATCTGCCAATTGAAGTTCCATGCCCTTGAATTGCTGTTCAACAGCAAAACAGCATTAAACCCATATGACCTCACACAAACTGCTACTTGTAAAATAAATTGAGCTAAAGTCTCAATCTTTGGCAATTTGCAGTCTCATGTGGGCTTATAGACCAATTCAATGTGAGCATGGGTGGGTGTACCCACATAGCCAGTTGGTAAGTCCAAAGTGAACCATGACCATCAGCCAGACATATCTAAATATCTAGAGGATACTTGAGCTAGGCTCTTTAGTACTTTTCTGTACAGTATAGATTTCCTCTGACAGGGGCCTACCTATATTGAATCTTGTTAAATTTTCAGTAAGTAGTAAACAGACTATGGCAATAATTATATCCTCATCAGTGTTATTGCTTGGTTTTCACTCTTATTGTGGTGACTCAGTAGTAATAGCCAACACAAAAAGCCAACACTTTACAGTATGAAACAGTCATATCAGTGAAAACAGTTATCGACAGCCAGACTTATGTCGGATTTTCCAGAAAGTCCAGATAAGAAGGGTTATGTTTGGACCCCCATAGATCTGTGTTTTTCATATTTTTTTCCATTTAATTTTTTGGGGAAGTAATTACACCTGTTCCATGACAAACCACCTGTAGCTTTCTCTCTTGCTATCCTGCATGGGTTACTTTCGGATTAACGAGATAGGCACTGTGTTGCATTATATCATGAAGGCATTTAGAGACATAATAATGTTAAAATAAATAATATTCATTTCTAGACATTCAGATTAAGGAAGAATTAGACCCCCCCTTGTTGGATGTCACATTATCTCGCAATATATGATCGAGTTGGGATTTACCTGAGATACCTGAGGATTATGGGTAACTGTAATCTAAAGGGTGTTTACACCGCCTCCGGCCTAATGACCCCGCGATGTCTCATACTGATCTCACTTCCAGCCAGACTTAAATTTAGTATTTGCAGGTCTAGCAAAATCCTGCTAGTGGGTGTGAAGTCCATGTCACTAGCCTTTCCCACTGCAGTCATACCTCTGTCACTCACACACTAGAGGGAGACCAGATGACTATGGCGATCAGAAAGCAGTCATAAAGCAGCAAAGCCTGGCCAGGATGGCGACAACAATGCACCCCCTGCCGGATCATTCCTGTGATGCACTCCTCACCATACAGAGAAACCCAACAGAGAAAATGATGTAGTGTCGCTGCAGCATGCCCTTTCATCAACTTGGGTATGCCGGACACAGACATATCCCCAACTGGGATCCTGTCATCATTGTTTCAGCCAAGCCGCCAGCCCGACGACACCATCTGGTGGATTGCTGGTACCACAGCCATCGGGTTAGAATCAAATATCTAAGGACAATGGAACCGATTTGGTGCCTCTCTTAGGCTGCATTTATACCAAGCCAGTCAAGTCAAGTCAAGTCACGTCAAGTCATGACTCATCGTGACTCGCCACTCTAATGCACATTTACTCCAATGTATATTCTCAGAAACCATTCCCACCAGATGAGTCAAGTCAAGTCAAGTCAAGTCACGTCGCATCGTGTCACGTCAAGTCACATATGGGGTTTGCCCCATTTTCTTCATCAGTCACGCCGAGTCCGCAGGTTGATGTCCAGATAAATTTAGTTCGAGAGCGTCCTGCTATATATGATCCCACTGATCGTAGCCACCGGGATCGTGATGTTATAGCTGCTCTGTGTAAGGAGGTTGCTGCTGTATTGAAATGTAAAGGAGCGACAACAGCTGTCATCCTAAAAAATTTTTAGAAATTGTCATGATGGTTCACCAAGTCTGGGAATAAATGACTGAAGCTTCCAAAATTGGGTCTTTTGGTGTTGAGTTCATGCATCCAGATTCGGGTCCTCCTCTTGTGTTTACGACGCCGAATCCACAACAAAACAGCTAATTCAGCCAGAGAATATGCGTCCATCCTCCTCGAAATCAGTCTGGGTACTGAGTCAAGTCAAGTCAAGTCAAATGACTTGATTGACTTGACTTGACTGGCTTGGTGTAAAGGCAGCCTTTGACCCAGCGTTTGCAGCATCCAAACTACTTGTGAATGACAGTGAGATAGCTGTTTTGGTATCACATTAATTGTTTTAAATAAGTTCTGGAACAAGCTCAGCCGTGAATAATCGTCAACAACTGAGTCATTGTTGAATAACTTGGTGAATAAGTTGGTGTTATTCATTTGTGTGATATTTATATAAAGCAAGGGTGCTGTTACAACAGCTGCTAGAAGCAAGGAGGAGGAGAGAAGTGAGAAGTTGATCTCCTGGAGAAGTGACACATACTGTCCAGGAAAATCCTGTCCCGTTGGTAGCTCGATTAAGGATCCGCCCCATAGGCACCTACCAGTGTAGATGTGTCATGCCGAACCTGCTGGAGTGAAGGAAACAAGCAACGGTGTAACCTAACAGTTCCCGGTGGGTATGATCGTTGCTGTGTGTCCTGATCGGAGTTGGAGAAGAAGATTCTTGTGGAGTTGTTGAGAAGACAAGGAGAGAATCCCATGTCCTGTGGGATGGACATTCCCGTTGTAGAAAATTGACTAGCTGGTCCCACCACGATTGAAAAAGCTCCCATTCCCGTTCTGAAACTAAGCCGCCCAATAAACCACCTCCATTGCAGAGTGAGGCTATGCCGCCAAAATTAGTACCAGTGAAGAGGTACACTCGATATTTTTAATACGAGTAACTCTAGGCAGTTAGTACGTAGTGGTTAATGTAGTCAAGGAACTCCACGTCTCCAGAAATGATTTATTCACTCCTAGTAGATGGAAGCTGAAAGTTAGTAAACAGTAAACAAGTATCTGTGGACGACCTGCCATCTCCAAATGTTAACTTTGTATCTCTGCCTGCTGCCAGATGCACCATCATCAATTGTGAGACGAGAGACCAGCTGAACAACAGAAAATAAGATATACAAAGGGTGTGTGTGTGTGTGTGTGTGTGTGTGTGTGTGTGTGTGTGTGTGTGTGTGTGTGTGTGTGTGTGTGTGTGTGTGTGTGTGTGTGTGTGTGTGTGTGTGTGTGTGTGTGTGTGTGTGTGTGTGTGTGTGTGTGTGTGTGTGTGTGTGTGTGTGTGTGTGTGTGATAAGATCCATGATATACCAGAATAGGTAATGAAAAAAATATGTGAAATCATCTGAGGGAATGAACACCAGAATTTTAAGTAATTAAGATAAGAAGTGAAGGAAACCTGTTTTGAGAAGTTCTGTAAATTGACTTTGAAATGTAATACTGTATATTGAATTATAAAGTCGTTTTAAAAACTGATGTTGAAGATTCAGTTAGAGTTGAAAATTAGATTTTTTATAAAAACCAAAGAGGGGAATAAAAAATCCATCTTCTACTGTATATACATTCGTTTATGCATGACTAGTAATTAAGCCTTTTGTTTTTCATGAGTGATTTTATTATGAATAATTTTCATTAACTTGATATCTCATTGATTTGTTTGTTCAAACCAGAATGCGACATCTAGCTTATACCTAGGTATGTTAATGCCTATCAATAACTCGCCATGCCAACATACAGGCAATTAAAACATCTAATAATTACTTAACACGTAATATTAGGAGGACACGTCGCTACCTGGCATTTAATTGCAATTCTCAAAATCCCCTCCCGCACCCTCCATCACATGCATTGTGCTATAAATTCACACAAATAAGTCTCCGCTAATTTGTGTTGTAATAGCTGAAATACTGAGTGCCACAAGTATTTTATATATGGTATTTATACATCTTAGCACGGTGAGGAAATCGAGTGACTTTTATTTTGTTTATATCTCTCAGATATTGTGTATGGGACAATTTCTTATACGGTCTGGTCAGAATGGCAACCACAGCGTGTCTTCTATTATGAAGTCGCTAGATCGTTAGTGACTAATATCCTCTGCTTTCAAGTCACTAAGTGAATGACGTTGTTTTTCGCCCGTGGTGACACGATCTGTTGGACTGGTGCCCGCATCCACTACAATTGCAACAGGGATATCTAGAACAGGTACTGCACCCTCAGTTCGAGATATCCTTGGCACTTAACGCTTGGAGTTTCTCGAAAGATGTTGAAATAGATTGTTTGGTAATTCCAATATCGTTACCCAAGTGATAGCAGGTCATAGACCCCAAACTTCTATGCAATATGAGAAAGCTTAGAAACTTTCTCAACAATTTATCAGGTTAACGACTCCAATCACATTGTTGGAAACAATGGTGTTAGAATTTTTAGATTTTCTGTTTAGAGTTAAAGGCCTTTAAGGATCGACAATTGCATCTTATAAATCAGCATTGGTTGACCCTCTGGCATGGGGATTTAATATTACTTTGAACCCAAGAATTCATCAAATGCTCAGATCTTCCTTTTTTATTCAGAGATCTCCTCGGCCTAAGAGAATCCCACCTTGGTCTCTAGATAAAGTTACTGATTTT